TTTTTTTTTTTTTTTTTTTTGAGATCCATTTATTTTATTACAATCTGTCTGGTATGAATGACAATAAGTAATAATGTATAATTATAAATCGTAATAATAATTATTACAATCTGAAAAAGAAAGACACGTATGGACTATGCCCAGTGACATATCCATATATATTTAAAGTAACAGTGTGTGATTTACATATACATATCTAAAATATCTCTAGATGTTTTCCTTTTTAGCCTCCTTGTAAAAGTGTTGGAAGGGGACATCAGGTGTGTCACCAGCGGGTTTGGGTGCATATATATGCGATGAGCGTAATTTTTTAAAATACTGGCTATTTCTTCCTTGATTGTCCGAACATGTAGTTGTTTATGTAGCTGTTCATTCGTTATATACCATATATATATATAGATTAGTAATATGTTTTAGTTAATAGTATATGAAGGACAATGAAACTGATAAGTTCACTAGCAACCCAATAAATTTGAAAACGTTGAAAGAATTTGACCAAAACAAAACAGAGTAATTAAATTTGGTGAAGGAGAAACAAAATTAATAAAATACCAATATAACATAATGTACAAAAAGTTGTATTTTAAGACCGGTAGTTCAGTAGTTTATTTTACAAAAAACAAACTACTGAACTAGTTCATTTAAATGAACTAAATTATTAGCCTATATTTTTCTCACTACTTTTTAAATATATTATGTTATAAATGGGTATGAATGACAACATTACTAGGTTTGGTGAGTTATATGAGTTTCTGGCCCGAAAAAGCTGATAGATACAATTTTTATGCAGATATCCGTAGTTACACATATTCACTTTTATATTATTTTTCAAGTTTTATGAATTAATTTTCAATTTATTTGAATTAAGCTGTGGTTATTTCATAGTTTTTGATTGTATATGTGTGTGGCTGTGTCTGTGTATATCTATAAACAATTTATTTTTTTGTAATTTTTTGTGAAAATTGATTTAAAAATGATGGAATCACGTAGCATGTGTGGATTTAATTAACACAATTTAAAGTGGGAACTTTGCAATACCTTGGAGCCACACACACTCACACACACATATGTGGAGGCTTAAGTTAATTATTTAAGCTGTCAAAATAACAACAAATATGAAATGAAAAACAAGAACCAAAATAATAACAAAAATAATAACAATAACAAAAACAATTCGTACAACAAACAATGAAAACCAAAAGTTTATTGACTGAATTATGTAAAAAGTATAAAAACGGAACCAAAAGTGGAAAAAAATATTTAAATATATAAAATTACTAATAAATCAAATGGAAATATAATGAAAGTGAATGCAAAACTGTCAACAATAAAGCTTTGCCAATTTAACGCCAAAAACATATCATAAAACAACAACACCCAAAATGTACAATAATAACAACAACAATAATATACCAAATTTAAATTTATGGGAGAAATGCAAATTTGCATAAAAATTTATGACAAAAAAAAAACATGAAAAAACGGAAAATAAAAAAAAATAATGAACCAAAATAAATGAAGGTGGCATGTGTAGGTGGCAAATGCAACATAAAACTGAAGAACAATTTCAATTGAAATATAGCGCAGCAGAGAAGTCAGCAGCAGCACAGCTAGCGCCACCTATAAAAAAACGCCATCTATACCATAGATAACAACAGCAAAAATAGTGAAGAATGACAGCGAACTATGGTATAATAAAAATGGTTAACAGCTCAAGAAACATGAGCACACGTACGTTGTCCGAGTGACTGCATGCAGCATGAAAAATGGCAAAGCTTATGTGTATAATGAAGCAAATGATGATGCCTGATGTCGGATACCAATGCTAACGTTGTTGTTGACGCCGACGTTGGCGTTGGCGTTGGCGTTACTAACGTTGACGACGATGACGAATAATACAACACGTAATTCCCTGTCATTGACTGCATTTCTGATTACGTCGTTTTTGTTGTAAATTGTAAACGCGCACTTTATTATAATAACGTCGTACATGCGTTTTTACAAGCTGTTGTCTCGTTTTATGTTAGTTTATGTGTTTGTGTGTTTGTTCACTTCAGCATTTATATTATGCAATTGTGTGGGGGGTTACTCTCCACTGCTTGCGATATGCAGCAAGCAATGGGGAAAGAGTGTTTTTTTTCCATTTCACTTTTCTTAGACTTTTTGGGAGTAGCATTTTATATCATAGCAGAAACAAAGGTGCTGCCAACGTCAATAAAAATGAACAAATTTCTTATAAAAAAATTTTTAAAAGTGAAGTTAATATTTTAATAAAAAAAATTATTTTGTTTTTATTGATTATTTTTTTATTGCAAGTATTATTATTATTTATGTTTAATATTTCTCATATTTTTTTTGTAAATCATCATCTGCAGTGTTTTAGTTCAATTTATTGAAAAATACGGATATGTTATATTCGTCAAATGATTCCATCCATATTTGACTTTGCACTAATGAATGACTAGCGAAAAATTGATTTTAAGTTGCAGATGTGAAAAGTTACTTAACTGATATTTGTTATATGATACAAATATTTAGGCAATAGAAAGTTGTAAAAGCTGTGATTAATCTTGATTTCACTAAAGTTTACAATTTCCATACTTGAACTAATTGCAATTTTATAAAGATTAGTTTTTGTGTTAAATTTGCAAATTAAAACAATAAACTTATCACCAAATGAAGTAATGGGTTTACCAAATCTGGTAATCAGCCCACATGGTTGTTATATCACATACATTTCGCCGAGTCTCAGGAATCGGTTAGAAGATACATTCAATCTGTGGAATTTGGGATGGCGAATTAAAGTAGAAAGGTATAAAGCAATTGGATAATAACCACAGCTATATGAAATTTAAGATATAGATACATAGAATTATAAACCCTACATCTTTGAAATGACTAAGTGGCAGTATGATTGATTGTTGTATCACATATGTTTTATCATATCTCAGCAATCGGTTAGAAGATATATTCAATCTGTGAAATTTGGAATGCGGAATTAAGACAAGGTACGATGAGAGAGAATAGCTGCAGCGAGATGAAATTTAAGATATACATATATAGAATTATAAACCCTACATCTTTGGAATGACTAAGTGGCAGCATGATTGGTTGTTGTATTACATATGTTTCATCATATCTCAGCAATCGGTTAGAAGATATACTCAATCTGTGAAATTTGGAATGCGGAATTAAGATATGGTACGATGAGAGAGAATAGCTGCAGCGAGATGAAATTTAAGATATACATATATAGAATTATAAACCCTACCTCTTTGAAGTGACTGACTGACAGATTGATTAGACTATAATCGATTTACCTTTAAAGTTAAACAACTAGTAGGAATTATCCAACGAGTGAGGTGAGTACACTGCGATCGAATA